GACTACTTGGCAAAGCCTTCCCTGCCACCCCAGGAGAAGGGTGAGTTGGGTAACCTCTGATCTCATCAGTGTGAGGTTCAAGTGGCTAGACAAGATGGCAATTTTTAAGAATATTGGGAAGGAATGAAAGGCAGTATCTTGCCCAAAAAGTTAAATCAGTGGCTCATGTCACCAAGGATAAGAGAGAAGAAACCAAAGATATTTGTTGTTTAAAGCTTTAAAATTTTCATTTTCTCTTAGAGCACCTTATAGTTTTCTTTTGTGTTCTTCACTTTATCCCCCATGCCTAGCAGAGTATCAGGCACACCTTAATAAATGTTTGTTGAGTGAATAAATGACTGTGCAACCCTCTTAACTCTATCATCAGGCTGCACCCCAAATTCACTTTCTCCACTGCTAACAGGTTATTATGCAAAAATATATACACATACCTTAATAAATTGTAATGTTCTGTTTATTAAAATATTTTGTTTCTCTGTTTAAGACTACTTCAATATTAATTTTATTTTGATTGAGGTAATACATCTCATAGTTTTTAAAAAATGGTGATAACTCTTTATAAACTAGCACAGATCTCCTCCTAACCCCAATCTCAATCCCCACAGTAAAACATTTGAGTCATGTTTTTCATTGTACTTGCATATTTCTAAATGGTTTGCTTATTCTGCTATTTCTTGACTTAGCAATTTTACGCATTGTTTATTGACTGTCTGTTATAATGGTTGAAGACTTAGTTGTCTTATACATGTACATAGACCGCCTTTCCTTACCTCCACCCTCTATATATATTTTGGGAGGAAAGACATATTTTCCTGAAATTACATCAATCAGTGTTAGTTTGGATCCTTGGAAAATTACCTGATAATTGATTAAAAGGCAATAAATCTTCAATATTAATTTTATTCATAAGAAAGATTTAATTGTTAATTATGAACAGATTTAATTGTGAATAATTATTTAATTATTAGATTTAATAGATTTAATTGTTAATAATTATTTAATTATTGCTCGCATCGTAGTTTATGGTTACTCTCTTGTCAGTGTTCCCATTATTCTGATTATATCCACATCTAACAGAGTGGTATATTATCATTATGTTTCTTTTCTCTCATAGCCTTTTCACCCCCTGGAGTTAGTCATATCCTTTTTCAAATTTGTTTAGTAAACTTTGTATCTACTGTAAGTTACTCACAAATGCCCCCAAATGATCTTTCAAACAGTGACAGTCAGAATAGTCTAACTGCTATAATAAATAGGCCCCCAAATCTCAGTGGCTTTATATGGTGTACATTTATTTCTTGCTTATGTCATGGCCCAGTGTGTGGCAGCTAGGCGTTCTGTGCCAAATGATCATTCAGAGCCACACGTTTCTTTCATGTTGGGGCTCTCATGTCTTCTAAAGCCTCAGAACTCTTTACTGAGCATTGCGTCTGCCTACTAATAAGGAAAAGGGAAAGCATGGAGGATCTCCTAAGTTACTTTATGGGAATGGCCTGGAAGGAGTGCCCACATACCATTGGCTAGAACTCAATTACATGTCTCTCTACCTGCAGAGGGCTAAGAAATGAAATCTAATGGGGTGCTCAGGAAAAAGAGGACATGGACTCAGCTGAGCATTTCCAGTCTCACCACACACACATTTATCAATAATTTGTCAAATGTATATGTACATCAAATAATTCTAATTTTTTTCTTTCTTTTCTTTCTTTCTTCTTTTTTTTTTTCTTGGAGACTTTCCTACTATAATTCATCCTTCTGCTTTCTCTCTAGGCCTGCTTCACAATTGTTCTGCAGAATTCACTTTTATGTCTCCTATGTTGGACCTGCATTTCTTGGGTCCCATCTCTTTCTCTTTCTTCATTTATGAGCTTGTTTTGGAGATCCTTCTTTTTTTTTAAGATTTTATTTATTTATCTGAGAGAGAGAGAATGAGAGACAGAGAGCATGAGAGGGAGGAGGGTCAGAGGGAGAAGCAGACTCCCCGCCGAGCAGGGAGCCCGATGCGGGACTCAATCCCGGGACTCCAGGATCATGACCTGAGCCGAAGGCAGTCGCCCAACCAACTGAGCCACCCAGGCGCCCCTGGAGATCCTTCTTTAAAAACAGTACAAGAAGTCCATTTTTTAATCCTGGCAGATCTGAAAATATCCTTAATCACACTTCCCTGACATTTTGTTGGGGTATACAATTCTAGGTTCAAAATAATTTCATTTTTAAATGTGAAGACATTTAAAGAATCTTCTGGATCCATTATTGCTCTTGAGAAATCCAATGCAGTTCTTATTCTTTTACTTTTATGTGATCTGCCTTATGTTTCTGGAAGATGTTTTATGTTCTTCTTTTTATTCCTGGGCTTATAATATTTCAGAATGATGTATTTTGGTGTATTTAATTAATTAATTGATTTTAAAAATTCTTCTTTTGGACTTTTAGTGGAAGTTTTGATCCCAAAGATTCAAAGCCTTCATTTCTGGAATCGTTTTTACACTACTTCTTTATTAAATTTTTTCATCCCTTTCTGGGTAAAAAGAACTCTTCTTCTGGAACTTTCTGGGATTCCCGTTAGTCAGAAAATTTTCCCCTTTTTCTAATTTTTTTTATTTCCCTAGCTTTTTGTTCTATTTTCCTGAAGATTTTTTTCATCATAATCTTAACAACCCATCTGTCAAATTTTAAAAATTTTGAGTAAATTTTCAACTTTGAGAGTTTTTTTCCTGTCTTGCATATAAATTTCTTTTTAATTCATTTTCTATAGGAGCAGGGTAAAAATATGTGTTCATTTCGTTAAACCACAAATTACTCTAGTTTACTTTCTCCAGAAAATAAACTTCTAGTCTCCTGGAGGCTGGGTTGAGCAGATGGAGGTATTTATGGTTGGTTGATTGCACGGCAGTGGGGAAGGAAGCTTTGGGTCCAAGCATTCTGTATACAGACGTCTAACCAAGCCCCTGTGTTCACCCTACCACCTGGCCTCCTTCTCTGCTGGTATTTCTGCCTCCCAGGCAAATGCACAGAGAATCATCTTGCTTCTTATCCATAACCCCTCTATAGGCACGCAGAGTGTAAACTCTTCTCTTCCAAGTCAGTTACAAGCCTCCATCTGATTTACATTCTTCCAACCATCTCTTGCTGTTTATTTTATCTTTTGAGGTCTCTTCTCCTTTCTATTTGTCTCTATTATTTAATAACATTTAAAAATCCACTTATTCTCACGTTAGAGGAGTTTGGGGAAGGGGAGGATGAAACACATGTGATCAATTTGTCATTTTTAACTAGAAGGCTCCCATGTATGTACATGTATCTGTTTACTTCAGTTCCTTATTTATTGATTGATAAACCCATTGACAAATTGTGTCTATTTAATTTTTGTCACAGAAACTCCAGGTATAGGAAGGCATTTATTTTTGATTATGACTCATGATGCTGCCCCCCTGTTTTCACTGGTTTTGCAGCATCTTTTATTCTGCTCTACCTCTGGTCAACGTGGCCTTCATGAGGTGGCCCAGAATCGCTTCTCTCCTGTTCTCCCACCATTCTCCTTGGAATCCCTCTTCCCACAGGGAAGGAAAAGTTCCACCACTTTCAAGTAGCTGAATAGCATTACTGTGTAACGTTGGTGACTCTGAGCCTCAGAACCCAAAGATGGGACTTACATGGCAGGTGACACCAGAAGGGCCGTCCCAGCAGAAGTGGGCCCTATGAGGCAGTTGGCCGCTTATCTGGGGAAGGGTGATGAGGAGAGCAGATGAGAAATATCTGTGTTAGACTTTCTCACGGCAGGGACTTTTTCTAGAAAAAGGTGGCAGCACAGTGTAGTGACCACCCTGAGCCCTGCCTCTGGGATCAGCAAACCTGAGTTCTCCCTTTATGATCTTCATGATTCTGGGCACCTTGTTGGGACTTTCTCAGTCTACATTTCTTCTTTCTTAAAGTGGGGACAGTAAAAATAATAGATTCCTTGCCCATTTCAAAGCAGTGTGGTGAACATCAAATGAGATGATGGCTTGAATAATAGCTATTTGGATTAATGTAAGTGAACACATAAACTAGGTGAAGAATACAGATTATCACTGATTAGCACAGAAAATAATTTAAAAAAAATTTTTGAGACTCATTTTAAATTAATTTGCTGCATACAATAGAATAAATTCAGTTATGTTCTTTCTTTTATCTCTCTCTAGACCCACAGACATATGCTTGTTATATACCCAGATATTGTTGAGGGATGCAAAACAGATTTGCATAAACATAGATTTAGAAATATTGATTCCCAGTATGTATAGATTCCCATAAATACAGATTCCCAGTATATATATTTTGAAAATCTACAACCCAAATCTCCTATGCTTTCTCCTGGTAGTTCAGAATAATTTTTATTAATTGGACCTTACTTTAGGATAATGAAGTAGATAAGAGCTACTAAAATAACATGTATAGACAACACATATGTATATAGAATTCACTGTGCCCGGGCACTATTCTATGCACTTTGCTGATGTGAACTCATTTGCTTGCAATAACCCTATGAAGGCATTTTATCATCCCCATTTTCAATACAAGAACATTGAGGCAGAGGAAACAGAACTTCCATATTTTCTAATAGAATAGAGTCTTGTGGGACCAAATACTTTCGCCCATTGCCCTCTTCTTCTCTATTTTGGTACTGTGTGTTCACATTGGGTTTTGGTTTGGGGCTCTTCCTTCACCTCCTCCACCCACAGCACTTCTCAGGGAGATGCTCCCTAGCTGGAAACGGCAGGGCCTCCCAGATGGTCCCGAAAGCCCCCTGTCGGAACTGGGTCAAACAATTAAAATTTAAATAGCATCTCATTGTTTCCCAACAGTGGTTTGGAACATTTAAATTTTCTTCACGGAGGAATAATTCTAGTGTTATTATATGTATGCAACCTTGGATTCTCCCCTTTACTGTCAGTCCATAAACTAGGGATGCCAGATTCAGTCTAAACTGTGACCTCAAGAGAGCCAGCCAGGATCTTTCTTGTGGACAGAAGGAGCCAACGTGTCTAGAGCAACGTGCCACATAGTAGGTACTTCATAATTATTTATTCAGTGAATGTGGACGCTCTTGATTTCCTTTGATCTCATAGACATGACCTCTCTTTACTATCCTACCGGTCTCGAGTGACGGTAGGAGGCAAACAATTAGGATGGTGTATACTGATTAATGTATTCACATTAACAGGTCCCAACTTTTAAAGCACTAATTTCGTTAGGTCCCCTCTTATTTCCCGGGGCACTTCTCTGTTCTGCACTGGCAGTTCCTTGCTCTCCCCGTTGTTAATGAGACATCCCCTGGGAGGAGAGAATGCCTTGGAAGAAGTTCGCACAGTGCCCTGGGCTCTTTGAATAAGCGATATCAAAGAAGACATGGGAAAATAGAGGAATAAAAATGAGCTCGCTGCTCGGGCTTGCAGTGTGGAGAATACAGCCAGGAGCCCAGCGCCCTTGAGTCACCAGCAAGATTTGCCCGAGGTGGGCTCGGCACGTCGCCTTAGGACGGGGAGACACGCCTTCTCGCACAAACCTTCCAGATCGCGGCGGCTCGGCCAACTCAGGGGTGGTGCTACACGTCCTGCCATTGGCAGTTCCGACGGGCAGGGGCTGGGGGCCGATCCCGGGCCGCAGGTTGGAAAATAAGGAGCTGTCCCCCCGAGTGTCGCCTGTAGAGCAGGTCGCGTGTGGTCGCTGGCGTGGGAGCCCCGGAGTTCAAGGGCTCGGGAGAGAGGAAGGAGACCTCTGAAACCTGACACCCAGCTTCTCGCAGAGGAAACTTCGCAGGCTGGTGAGTTGGGGAAGCCGGGCTGTTACTGCTGGAAGGCGTTCCCACCCACTCCGGGGGTTCTCAGCGGCCCGCCTGCCAGAAGGAAGTGAGACGTGGATGGGGAGCGCGGGCCGGGAGAAGGGCGAGCAGGTGCGGGGCGCGAGCGCGCGGATCCGCGGCCGCCCCGGGAGCCCCGGGGAACCCGAGCCGGCCGTGTCTGGTCGGCTATTTCCGCAGCAAACAGCTGGTTAGGATTAAACAACCACCACCCCCTCCCGCCCCCAAACCGGTCACAGCAATGCCAGTTTCCTTCCATCTGGATGCCCAGACAGCCAAAATGATTAATAATAATAATAATAATAATAATAATAATGTGTTTAGAGAAGGGGAAGTATTTTAGGGAGCCTAGCCAGCTAAGTGATAGACATTTCTTTGCACTTCCTCAGGTGTGGTAGCAGCAGAGAAATCAAAAGTAATTTCTGTCTTCCAGGGTTTTTTTTCGCTCAGTTGTTTCCACATTCTGATCCACGCATGGCAGCTATTAGGGTGTATGCATGTGTGCTTGTTCAAGTGGCCACAGTGCCTTAGCTTCCAAGAGTTTCCCACCCGATGCAACATAATTTAATTATTTGAAAAATGCTGAGGCAGGTGACTAGCGAAAGCTGGAGGCTGTATTACTAGGGAAAAGCCATGTTTGGTGAAAGTCACCACCCCTGTAACATGTTTACTGGCTTTTTATTTCAAGATTTAAAATTAAGGGTATAAGGTTCCAGCTGATTAATTGATACATTATTAAATTAAGCCCAACTTAATAAATGTGGTTCCAGGGTTACTAGCAACTATGTTATCATTTAACATAACAGGAGCTATGAATTTTAATTTGGTTCTATTTTTTAAAATGTGTACTATTCTTTTTTTTTTTTTTAAGATTTTTATTTATTTATTTGACAGAGAGAGAGAGAGCGAGACAGAGCAGCAGAGGGAGAGGGAGAAGCAGACTCTCCACTGAGCAGGGAGCCCGATGGGGGGCTCGATCCCAGGACTCCGGGATCATGACCTGAGCCAAAGGCAGCCGCTTAACAACTGAGCCACCCAGGCGCCCCCAAAATGTGTACTATTCTTAATATTTAGTTACAGTCACGCATATTCAGTGATATTATAAATGAATATATAATATTTATATGCATGATTGTATAGTTCTAAATTTGAGAAGTTAATAGAAAAGATGGACTTTGGCCTTTAGCCTTAGGCATTTAAGTTTGTTGAATTTTCAAGTTACTATAAAGTCCACATTGTAGTATTGAGAGCCATACTTGCCTTGTGGCATTCCCCCTAGAGAGTTATTTTTCAGGGGCGCCTGGGTGGCTCAGTTGGTTAAGCGACTGCCTTCGGCTCAGGTCATGATCCTGGAGTCCCAGAATCGAGTCCCGCATCGGGCTCCCTGCTCAGCAGGGGGTCTGCTTCTCCCTTTGACCCTCCTCCCTTTCATGCTCTCTGTCTCTCATTCTCTCTCTCTCAAATAAATAAATAAAATCTTTAAAAAAAAAAGTTATTTTTCATAGTTTCCTAGCATGATCCTCTACCCATATGGGATCAGCCCTTCTTGAAGGCAAGAGGGAATTTTTATGGATGACCAAAAAAGGGTCATCTTGACAGATAGTTTCCTATTAATGAGGCTTTTCTGCTTAAGGATTATGGGCCTCTCATAAAATGTTACAATCGTTGCTTTCGAAAGGAAAACAAAACATTTCAGATGAAACTGGATGAGCCTGTTCTCATAGTTGCCAAGAAAGAATAAAGGGAATCTGTCAAATGTAAGCAGATGACAACTCTCACAGGCCATTTCTGGAATAGGGATATTTGACCTGATAGCGAAGGTAGCCCCAATACATGGGTCTTCCCAGCTCCTTGGCACACCAGCTTATTCTAACATTACTTACTGGTTTCTGAGTTGCTTTTCATTTAGTTAACTGTTTTATTTATTTATTTATTTTTTCTGGAAAAGTGGAAGTCAGCCAAAACCCCAGGTGGTTCAGAACAGAAATCTGCTCTTTTCCCACCCTCACTCTGAGAAGTTTCAGGTTAGGTTTTTGGTCTTTTAGATCAGTAGAGCATGAAACATAGACCAACTATTCACATAAAGCTCAGCTCACAATTAATCTAGTTTCTCAAGCTGATTCATCAAGGTAGCTTAACCAATAGTTGAGCTCTTAAGCAAGTAATTGTAATGTCGAGATGCAGGAAAACAATTACAGTAAAAATAGATAGGACAAACCAGGTGTTTCCCATGAAGAGTATGTCACTTTCTAGAGTTGCTGTCTAAAGGAGAATGATTTTTTTACTCATTATTAGGTGTACCTAGAGCTAAAGTTTATGATATAGTAGTAGGATGTAGCAACATCACTAAGCATAATAAAAGCCTATTGTAAACCCCATACATGGAGTTGAGAGTATTACTTAATTAGTTTCACATAGTCATTATTCATGTTCTAAAAATATTAACCTTCTCTCATAGGTCCTCCTTGAATGAAGAAAACTTGTCTAGATTACCGATAATGAGACTAAAACTCTGTTTAACACATAATCAAAAATATCTTTAATAAGTTGTCTTTTTAAGTAAACAACTGCTCCTTGTATTAAGAAAAATAATTTAAGTTTCTTGTTTATTTATACAACAAATATTTATTAGTACCAAGCACTATTCTGGGCTCTGTGGACAGAACTGGGCAAAACAGACAACAGACTAACATCCCTGGCCCCATAGAGCTTGCCTTTTACTGGGGAGATAGAGAATAAACAAGACACATGCAAGCTGAATCTATACTATATATAAGTATATATGTAAGTATATACTATACTTATACAAGAATGCAGAATGTGTCAGTGGCATGGCCCCACGGGTGTTGAAATTTTAGATCAGGTGCCCAGGGAAAGACTTACTGTGAAGATGATCTTTGAATATTGGTCTGAAGGAAGTCAGAGAGTGAGCCACGTGGTTGTGAGGGGGAAGAGTTTTCCAGACAGAAAGGGTAACAAGCAGGGGTTTGCCTGGCATCTTCCAGGAAGCAAAGCAGCCTGCAACACCTGGAGGGGGGACTGGGGTAACAAGAAATGGGAGGGGCGATAATGGGGCCACATCACAGAGGGCTTTGAAAGTCCCGAAAAACATGTTGACTTTTGATTTTTATTCTGAATGAAGTGAGAAGACACTATGATTTAGATGTTGTCTATTGAAAATTCATTCAAGAGACTAGGCATACTCTGAGCCTTGGTATTCTTCTAAGCTAGTGGATAATAGAGGTTAATATCATGGAAATTACATTCTAGCTTAGAAAGATAGACACCTAAGTCAATATACAAATTAGTAATTATACAAGTTTCAGTGCTATTTAGAAAAATGTAATATGAAATAATGAGAGTGACCTGGGAGGGGAAGGAGCATGCTGTTTGATTCAAAGGAATAGCCTCGGAGAAGGCCCTCTTTCTAAAAGATCACCCTGGCTTTCTTGAAGAGAATGTAGCACAGGGTGAGCGGGGAAGAGAGACCAGGTAGGGGCTATGCCAGCAGATGGCAGTGGCATAAATCGAGGTTGGAACAGTGGTCCTAGAGAGAGAGAAAGAGACTCAGGACCTGTTCGAAGACAGAGCTGACAGGACTTGCTGACAAATCAGATAAGGGGTGTGCTGAAGAAAAGCAAGAATCAAAATGATCACCAGGTTTTGTATGGACATACAACACAGATGGTGAGGCTATTTCCTAAGGTGGATAAAGCTAAGAGAAAAAACAAAGTTGGAAGGGAAATGCAGAATTCATTTTCAGTCTTTTGAGGTATGTTTAGGTATCCACTGGAGATTTTTGGATATAGAAATTGGAGCACTTGGAAGAAGTCATAGCTGCACATAGAAATTTGGGAATAAAGAGTCTATGGATGCTATTTAGACCCCTGGTCTTGAGGCTATCACTGAAGGACCATGCTCTGGCTTATTCTAACATCGAGGGATCTTGCAGAGGAGCCAGTAAAAAACTCCCCTTTCCCCCCAGAAAGAGTGTCATCATGGAACCCAAGCCAGGAAGTGTTTCCAAAAAAAGGGAATGGTCACTTGGGTCAGATGTTGCAAAGATGCAGAGTGAAATGAGGACCAGGAAGTGATAATTGCCTGTGGCATCTTGGAATCACGGGCAACTTTGACAGAAGACAGAGTTCTTAAAATAAGGAATTCAGATAAACTAATTTTAACAAATGCTGGAAAGAACATTTTGCAAAATCCCCAAAGAGAGACCACTAGAGAAATTCATGAGGCTACATAGAGGCTCTAGTAAAATCCATTTTAAAAAAACTGGCTTGTAGAACAGATGAACAAAGGGACACATAATTAGAAATACTTACAAAGGTGTTGTGAGCTGTCAAGATAGTATGAAGAAGAGTAAAACCCAGAGTGGGCTGAAGCCTGGAAAGAATGCTGAGGAGAGCCATTCTTCTAGCATTGTTTAAAGCAAAGCAGTGAATAAGGAAGTTGATGGATGTGAGTGAAAGTAGAATTTCTCAGTTTCTATTGTGCTTCCCTGTTCTTTCTACAAAAAAGAAAATAGTGTTCCAAAATGGGAAGGAATTGATAACACTAAAAGAAAATTAAAGTCAAAGGAAGTTGAGAAGTTATTGTGACCGCAAGTAACTTCTTTAAATGGGAAAGAATAATGCTGGGATTGGTCAAGAAGACCTGTCTGAGGAAACTTATGTTTCAGTTGAGACTGAAAGATGTCTGGGTGCCAGGTGGGTGGGGAGTTAGGACAGAACAATCCAGACAGAGCCAAGGCCCCTGCCGAGATCTCCACCTGGGACAGAGCTTGGTGCATTCAGTGAGCTGACAGGGGGTTTAAGTGGAAGGTAGGGGGTGGAGAGAGGGGCATCAGGTGAGGCTGGAAAGACCACTCAGGAAGTCATTGCAGGAACTGGGTAAAACCAAAGAAGACCAAGGAATGCACCACTCCAAGAATTCTTTGTTGTGGAGATGGCCTGTGC